CGCAACGGCTACAGTGCTGATAAAATTGGGAGCCGAATTATCTCTGTCCCCTCCTATTTTACATCCTGGTTGGTATACCAAAATGGTTGTGGCCTCTTAGGAGATGTGGCATTTGGAAGTATTAACATTTTCAACTATAATCCAATCACAGCAGGTTGTCCGGATAGACCACTGAACGCCGAATCAGCTACCGATAGGTATTTAAATAGAATTTTCCCCCATGTTTTATCATAGAAAACCTGTGCAATAGTGGGTAGCGACCTCAGTATGCCTAGGGTTTCATGGATGGCCTTTAGCGAACCACCTCACTTCTAGATCCCCCTTCAAACAATGAATACTTATGGCAGGATGTGCATAGTCAATAGAACCAGTATACTGCAAACACTCGTGGTGAATTCCTGGAAAATCATCATAAGTTCGCGTCTTTTCAACTGTAAGCGCTATGCAAGTACATACCAAGACTGACTGGATCTATGGTATGTGTCAGCGGGGATTTCACTGATACTGACTGGTTTTATTTACAGTACCACGTATGTTATCTGGGCTGAGATAAATCTGTTCTAACAAGTTGCGTAAAGCACTCCCTTTTACTTCAACAAATGCATCTATACTAAAAGCTTTCACACTCTCCCCTTGATGATTTCCCCATGGCCGCACTAAACATGCTACAAGTTTAAAAATACCAAATTCTAGGTATATGATATGGAGTTGATCACAAAGCGAAGCCAGTAAAATCACTAAATTAAGTCGAATGTCCAACACACATCCAACGATAAAATAACCTACAGAGTCGGTGCAGACTAGTTAATGTTATCATCGTCTTACATTTGACGAATGTGAACTATATGCCACAAACACACGGATTTCAGCACAATTAGTCATAAAGTCTCCATTTCACTACATGTATTTGATAAACAGAATTAATAGGACTGTCTGAGTCCTCTAAATCAATCAGACTTTTCAAGTGTTGGTTTGTAGGGATTTGATTGATTAAAAGTCATTCTGAACTAGGAAGAATATTCCTTTTTCAACAATTTCTCCTATACAGGTTCTTACAATTATAAAATACAATATATTTGTTGTCGTTACAATAATGGTAGTCAGTTATGCGGCGGATACATTTTTAAAGTAGAATAACAGATTAGCAGTTATGGGGTGTCAAAATAAATAGTCGTATTTGTGTGACAAACATCGTGCTAGGTTGAAATCGATTAGAAAATATTGTGAAACGGCAGACAGTGGTGGTGATTAACCATAATAGATTTGTAGAGTGTGGGGTAGGAAAATTGACAGGTCAGTTCAGGGTTATCGAAGGTGTCAGGTGAGTGGAGTGGCTAGTACAACGTGGTCTGTGTTAAACACGAGATAGCAAGAGTGCAATGAGAGGTTCATAATGAGATAACGAATATGTGAAATGAAACAGGTGGAGGCATATATTGAGAAAAGAGATAATATCACTAATAATAAGTCCGTATAAACGAAAAATTCAATAGTATTGAGAATAAATTATGAAGAATGATAATAATGATAACTGTAATAATAATACTTGTAATAATAAGCAAAGTAAAAAAAACTAAGAGGGTTAAGAGGAAGGAGTACTCTTGGTGACAAGAAAAATCTTCAATCCAAGTTTGGCCACGGTAGGAACAGCGTCTGGACGTGTTCTTTTTGGATACACAGTTCCGGTTTAGTCGATCTTATTGCAACAGCTGCTTCAGCTATGTATGGGAGACGTAAGCGAACTGTACGTGATAACGACTTCGGAATTCGGTATATAACCCTGAAAGCTGTGTTGACATCAATGCGATGTCCAGTATCGACCAGGTGTGACAGGATCGAGCTTTTTATTCACGTAATTTCCCCCCCCCTGGTGAACCAAGCTGGTAAGTGTTCTCGAACCTGTAGACTAACCTGCCTAAACCTGCGCCCTATGTAACTTGAACCACAGGAACAGTTGAAATGGTATATGCATGAAGAAGTGCTAAGGTTAGGTAAGATATCTTTGAGTTGCTGGGTGAACATTGGACGGCTAGTGAAGGATAGTGATATGTATTCACATAATATGTGTGTTTGTTTTTGACAGTCTGTTATATTTTGCTATGTATACTTGGATCGATATTCCATTATAATTGACAATATGTTTTTGTCTGTCCACTAACTAAATAAACATGTCTGACCTTGTTGTCACATGACATTACAACCAATCATGTTAAGACTGTCTATTGATTCGTTTATTTTTGAACATTCGCTCATACACTTGTGTGACATTGATTTTCCTTGTTTGAAAAATACAAGTATCATCGTGAACCTGGTGGTTTTCTGATTTCCGCCTTCTTGCGTCAGGTCTATTAATTACTCGACGAGTACATAACAGATAGACACAGACGTGCAGAGTAGAAAGTTTTCTTTATCGCCCTGCTTAAACGTTGGGGTAGAATCTCCTCAGGAGTATCTCCCTTGAATTGGAGACGTAAAAACAAAGGTTTTTTCTCCACAGTTGCCAGTTCATGTTTACGACTATTGAAACCTATGTTGGCTCTAATGAACTTCTCTGGAATATCCGTTCTCGCTTAGAATGTCTCGGATGACCTGGAGTTCTTTCTCTACGCAGTCTTTGGGATAAATAGACCTCGCTCTAAATGCTAAGCACCTGATTAGATTACGTTTGTATTTCATCGATACCAAACTAAGGAAGTGTGTATACTGAGCTTTGGTCTCTAGCTTTCTAAATATGGTTCTTTTGACGGAACCATCCTCTCTTCTTGTTAGTAGGATGTCGAGGAAGTGCAGAGAGTCATTGTATTTTCCTTCGTGGGTGAAATGGACCGCTGAGTGAGCATTATTGAAGTTGTTCAAAATCAAATCACTATTTAACTCTTCATCGTACAATACAACAGTGTCATCCATGTAAGACAATACATTTCCATTTTTGCTATTTCCTCTTTCAACGAACTATTTTCTAGTTTTGCTGGAAATATATTCGCGAAAATAGATCCCAGTGGGGATCCCATGGCTACTTCATCAACCTGTCTGTATATTTTATTATTAAACAAGAACTGAACATTCGTTGTACATTTCACAAGTAGTTGTTTCAGATTACTGATAGGAATATCAGTGCACAATTTCTTTTCTATAATCTGTTCGCAGATATAATCGATGGTTTCCATTAGAGGCACATTAGTGAATAGAGATGAAACATCAAGTAGTGACATGTATTTGCCAGTCGCATTGAAGTTTTTGATCTTATCAATAAATTGAAAGGTATCCTTGATGCTGTGCTTTACTAACTCGTCATTCAAGGGTTGAATTAGCTGTACAAGCCACTTTGCCATCTCGTGATACGGTGAAAGAGACATATCTAGTATGGGGCGTAGGGGAACTCCTGATTTATGCACTTTCGGTAGACCATACATGCGTGAGATGCTGCTACCTGTGGGTTTTATGTTTTCGCAAGTTTTTGGTGACAAATACCCTTTACTCTTCAAATCCTTTAATAAGTTTGTTATTTCTCTCTCTACTTTCTCCGTATGATCTTTCATTGCTTTCGGCTTCTGAAAGTTGCTGCCGTCACCTAGTATGGAGTTCATCTTGTTGATGTAGTCCTGCCTATCCATAATTACTATCCCCGGTCCTTTATCCGGTCTGGTTACAGGATTTCATCATGAGCTGACACCGATTCGAGAAGCACTGGAAAACCAGTCAGGGAGTACTGGACAACTGTTTTGTCAGCCTAGCTTGGGAATCTTCGTCAGCACGCACCCACTGGGGATTCGAACCCAGGGCCCTCCGGTTGCGAGGCAAGCTCGTATAACACTAAGCCACTGGGACCCAATCCAATGGCCATCCCATGAATTCTAACTTCTGCCAATTCATGATATAGCGCGACCGCTAGCCAATGTCTTTGGCGGGTATTTGTCGCTTAATGGTCTACGAGCTCGCCTCTTAACCAGATAGTCCTGGGTTCGAACTCCGATGGTGAGTGCGTACTGCCGAAGAGTCCCAAACTTTTCTGATGAGACAGCTGTCCAGTACTCCCTGCAGGTTTTCCAATGGTTCTCTAACCGATGTCAGCTCACGATGAAATCCTGTGGCCAATCAGTAGGACTTTTCTCTGGGAGTATTTTTGTTCCTATCAAAATCAATCATAGTCTAATTGATCTGAAGAAATCGAAGAAGGACGATTACTTTAGGGATCCGTGAAGGACACCATTCGACCTCGTCATTAAGCAGCACGATACCTGTTGAGTTGTGTAAAGTCATAGACTATTAGAAGGTGAAATCCCTACCAGCTTTAGGTTCCAACAGACGCTGATTCTACCCCACACCATGCAGAAACAAACGTTGGAAGAGGCTAATATCCGACTAGATCATATTGTGGTGAGGGCTGGCTGTTAGCCAAAATTGGTGGACAGTAATTTACGTCAATGTTTATGTCCCCAATATTGGTCATGAGAAAGGTGAAAACAAAGGCTTTGCGTAGGCGGATACAGTTAACATATAGGTGACCTGAAATTCAAGAAACAGTCACAAAGAGATCCAAGGTTGACAACTTTCTGTGAGAAACAACCAACAGTCAGAAGACTGTGGTGTTTTTCTGCTAACAATATTCTATAATAATGTACATGAAAATCTATAAATATGTGTTGATTTCCTTAATAAACGATCTGTTACCTGGCTGGCCCTTGTCTTCTGCTGTTACAATATTATATACCTCACAAATCTTCCAATTTGATGATGTTAGGTAGTTGGAGGTAATCGGCCGCAGGAAGCCTCGACTGACTTAGGTTTCGTGCTAGTTGGCACTTACAAGTCAGCAAGGCATATCTGCAAATGCCTTGAAAGAACTTATGTCCCTCCTTCTGAGATTTGAACTTGTGTCTCCCAGTGCTGCAGTGAGTCAGAGACGTTACCACTGAGGCATTCCAACCATCTAATATTATCAAATCAATGTTCACTATGGTGGCGAGCTACCTAGAATGGTGACGACATTGCAAACTTGACTGCACTAACGCCAAAGACTAGACACATCCCACTAGTTTCTGACTAATGTCCAATCAGAGTCTTCCAGCTTGTCTGAGAAAGGCTTTAATTACGTAACCAGAAAAGAAGAAGTCAAACATTCATACAAATTTGTCTTATTTCTGCATATTGACATGTGTGATGCATGGGAAAAAAAGGCGGGTAAACAATCAAACCAACTAGAGATTTCCAATCTCTTTCTCTCTCTCCGACTGTTCTCCAATTGTTCAGGCCAGTTAATATCGATACATATAATATGATTTCTCTAATATAGACAGAAAATTCATCTGTTCTTTTATTGTGTAATTCTCGTTGAATAAAATGTGGGAAGTGGGAGTGTTTTCTGATCATAATTTGTGTTAAAAATTAATTAATTAATGTACACATATTTACAGACAAATTATACAACTTGATTGTCGTAAACACATTCGGAGAAGAATAGAAAGCTCATTAGAATAGATCACGCGAAGCTCTCTCTGTGTGTGTGTCTACCAGTCCATCTGTCTGAGTAGAGGTGTCGACAATAATTTCGACAATTTCCGTATTACCACTTGTTAGTAGTCTAAAATTAAATAGTCAAAAATTCTGTTTAAAGCTGTTTCATCTCAAGTTTGATAGAATTCTGTAAATCGGATGAGTGATGTAGACTGTCTGCCTAGGCGATTTGCTTCACTTGAAAGTTTCGCAACATCAGTTTTATGCCATGGCCATGTGGATAGAACCCATTCTGTTGGATCTGAAAGACTCGCGTAGCTTGAAGCGTTATGACTACTTTTCAAGGATGTGAAAATCTTTTGAACTAATTCTGCTATTACTTTATTCCATATATCGACAAACCAAGATTCACAGTTGACAGGATCATTGAAAGGAAGGTTTAGAAATATTGATGGATTGAGGAAATGTTGGTGGTGATGATGACGATGATCGGTGGTTGAATTTTCATCAGAGTTTTGTACATCGTTTAGAAATTGATCGACACGAACACAAACCTGTTAAAGGAGAGAATAGGAGTTCATATCAGTAAAAAATAAATTATTTCAAATTAATGGCTTATAAAGGGTTAGGGTTAGGGTGGAATGTCGTCTGGCTTGGCGCCAGTCTCACATCTGAAACGTGTTCATACATCCTCCTACTGTATATCTTGGAGGCTTATCTACACAATATCTCATTTGAAACAATGCATTCAAGGTAGATCGCAAACTGACTTCAGTTAGATAACCACTGGAAGTCAAGGAGTACTGGGTAACTGTTTCGTCCTAATTTTGGACTCTTCAGAAGGGCGGGCCCATGAGCTTACCTTAGCCACCATAGATGGAAACCAGAACATTCAGGTTCTTCATCCACTAGGACGGAATCGAATGACCTGTCAATGTTATCTTCAACCATTTCACAATGTAAGGCACAATAACACTTGGAATAATGCATTTTGATGTGATGTGAGGAAATCAGGAGGGGGGCGGCTCAGGTGGATACTTTGCTGTTATAATGTTTTTTTTTCAGCTGGTTGGTTTAATCATAAAGTCTTCATTTTCTCTTTCCTAGACAACGTGGAGAAAACACTGTCAAGAAGATCAATGAAACCTTCACGGACGTCATGGCCGTTAGAGTCCACGGCGTCATTGGGGTGGGGATACATGGGCCATTGAATTCCGTGTAGAGAGTTGAATAATCAACGATGTCTCTTTGGAACCTGAAGGTCTTGTCTTCTATATCCTGTAGGGCCTTGAGTGCATTCCGTCGAAAAATCCCAGATTTAATGAAACAAAGATGTATGAACTCCTCAGCTGAGAAAATAAATACTTGGTTCATGAATAGAGTAAAGCAGAAGAAAAGAAGGATGGGGGTGTAGTATATCTAGATTTCCAGCTGTTGTTTGAATAGACACTCTTGTAGTGCTGAATAGTATTCAACTAGATTGACTTCGGTAAAACACAATGATTAATATTTGACTTTTAAAAGCGAACCGATTCCAGTCACAGAACTAAATTCACTATTAACTACAGGTTGAAGTTACCTAAAGTTCTCCTGAGAAATCGTGACCAGTGGGGTCTTTCAAGTAGGTAGGGTCGTGAGGACAAATGCTTGCCAATAACATTAGTTGGTGATGGTGGCGTCATATAACGCCAATCAGTAAAAGTTAGCACAAATGCGCCAATGAACTCTCTCTCTCTCTCAGGAGCTGAATGGTTAATAGCCCTCCTTCGTTACCTGAGGGTCCCATTCGTGTAAATGAGGAATCGTCTCAAACTGGAGAGAACAAGTTATCCAGTAATCCGTAATTTCCTCTAAGTGGGACTTTAAATGAAGTCAATTTGTGACAAAACCTCAAATTAATTAAACCCTTGCAAGTCAACATTTTAATTTTCAATGTCTGACACTCAGTCCTCATAGTATCGATTCATATGTACACTTCGTGGGGGATTCAATTCACTTATGAATTGGAAAGTCAGGAAGGGGAGCTTCCAATGTTAGATTGCAGTGTAAAAAGGAAAGAAGATGGGAATTTAAACACGCTAGTAATTTTAAAGGAAACCCACACATTCAAAGAGATATTTGAACTTCCGATTATCCCGTCCTATGTCAGTAAAAATAGGATTGGTGAAATGTTGAAGTGACAGAGCACAGAAACTAAGTAGCACCAAGGAAAATCAAAGACAGGAAGTGATACACATAAAAGAAGCTTTGAAACTTAATAATTACCCTGATAAATTAGTCAGGAAGTATGTGAGGAAATATAAAAATAAAATAAATAATCATGGTAGCGAGTGTTATAATAATAATAATGACAAAAATAATGATAATAATAATAGTGATAATAATAACAATGACGACACCAACGATAAGGAGTCTAAATCCTCAGTAGTAATTCCATACAGGGAAGGAACCTAGGAAACCAGCTTACGCAGAATTCTTAACAAGGGAGGCAGGAATAAAAGTGGCTGCTGGCATTCAAACCAACCACAAACTCAATTAGAAACAAGCTTTGTCAGTGAAATGGTGGATCCCATGGAACCTTTAAAACAAAACAATTCAGTTTACCTAATATCCTGCTAGAATGATTGTCAGGTCAAATACATAGATGGTTGGAATTGTCATCTGAATTGGTAACAACCAGTGGTGTCCGACAGGGATGTCCACTTTCCCCATTTCTGTTTAACTTCATCATAGATATGCTGATGGAAGTATCCTTAACTGAACGTAGTGACTTAGGAATCGACTTGTTACCAGGGAATAATCTAATGGACTTAGAATATGCAGATGACATAGTCCTGTTAGGGGAGGATGCTGAAAAAATGCAGAGTCTTCTGAACACTTTGAGCAGCAATCTTCGTATGTTTGGCATGCGATTCGCCCCTACAAAATGTAAGATGCTGCTACAGGACTGGACTACGTCAACACTCCTAACTTAGTGATAGGGAGTGAAGTGATAGAACATGTTGAACACTTCACCTACTTGGGAAGTTGTATTAGCACCAACGGACTGATTGGCGATGAAATCTCATCACGGATCCAAAAAGCTCGAGCTGCTTTCGCTGACTTACACCATCTCTGGCGTAGGCGGGACATCCGGCTATCAACCAAGGGACGTGTGTACTGCTCATCAGTTCGCTCCGTCCTTCTCTATGGCTCTGAAACATGGCCAATACGCGTTGAAGACATGAAAAGGTTGACTGCTTTCGATCATAGATGTCTGCGATCTCTGTCTCACGTTAGGTGGTTTCACAAGATAAGTAATGTTGATGTTAGGCGTAGAGTGTTGGGCAAAGAGGGAAAATCAATCGACGAGGCTATAAAGTTACATAGACTAAGATGGCTAGGTCACGTGCTGCGCATGCCTAACCATCGCCTCCCCCGACGGGCATTACTAGCTGCTGATATAGGTGCAGGTTGGAAAAGAGCCAGTGGTGGCCAAACAAAAACATGGCCTCATCAATCCATGAAATCCTTGACAGTTAAACTGAGTCAGGTAGGTAGGGAGATGCAGACTCCCGGGTTGGGGCCCTCGGGACTCTAGGAATCAATGGCTGGAGACAATAGGTGACATGGCTCAAAATCGTTGTCAATGGCCAGCGCAGATGTATTCAGTCTCTGTAATCTTTCATATTCCTTTCTACCATTACCCATTCTGTTTCACTCTTATACTTGTCAAACTCTATTAATTCTCTTCACTCATCTTCTTGTCTACCTCTGTGTGCTATTTGGAACGTGGCAACTCGAACTGTTGCACTTCGGTGCCAAGTTCTATGTTGAATCCAGACAGACAGAGACATAGATGGATCAAAGTAGTAGAACAGGGACAGTCAGTCAGACTAGCCGAGTATAAAAACCTAGCAGCAAAATCTAAATTGATTGACCCAAATAAGATAAGAAATCTAGAGAATAGTTCAGCTATGGCACTCACTACATGCAATTAGACACAACCAGACAATAGGATGTTGGGATGAGATGACAGTTATAAAATCTAATGTCACAGGGTGGAGGGAGAAATTGATAACTGACTGAAGCCTTTTTTGTCGAATCAGCTGAGAACCAACACGTGTAATAGGAATGATTCAACACCTGTCCACCCAGATATCTGAAAAATTCCATCACCCCAACGACGACAAATAGGAGAGAACAAAGAAAACTATAAAACTCAAGTTTCGAAATCGTGTGATTATAATTGACGATGTGATTACGAACAGTAATAAATTTTGTTCGAAACTGTGTCATCCAGTAAATAGCAATACTGTTTCACTCACTGTGTGTGATACAACCAATAAACAAAGTAATATGGAATCACTTCGTGGGTGTTTTTTAATCCTCAGACAAACTGTCAGTTTATGGACGGGGAAAATATCCCGTCTTCTGGACAATCTAAAAAACTTGGTTAGTTCTTTTCTTATAACAAGACATATAATAAGCGAACAATATTGTTGTTTTCAATTAGATTTTCTGCTGGCTTCACGCTAATTCACGTAGATTTATATGCAAAAATAAACATTAAACAATGACGGTGAGTTTATGGATCAAATTACAGTAAGAATAAATTTCCAAAAGTCAGTTTGTAGGGATTCTATTTGTTTCAGTTAACCCACGGATTGATATTAGCTTAGAAAACCATTGAAACCTAAAGATTACTGGATATCTGTTTCATAAGCCTCGTTTGGAACTATTCGGCAGTACGCACACACTGGAGTTCGGACTCAGGACCTTCCGGTTACAATGCAAACTTGCATACCATTTAACTACTTCACCCCCTATTCAATGGCCACTAAATTCCAACTTTTACGAATTCGTGATTTCTAGCGTAAACACCAACCAGTGTCATCGGTGGGAACTCCATCTTCACTCCTCACCGGATGGACCTCAGTGATCACGTCTGCTCACTAGAATATTGTTGGAAACAAAACACATAGTTCAACAAAGTGTCTATTGTCGGCGGCGAATTCATTTCCCCTTTAGCTGTACAGTCGCAAATATAGACATGAGTGTATTTTGTATGCATGTGTGCATTAAGTTTGTCGAACAAAAGTACAATTCGTTATGGTTATTTTAACTAAAGGGGTGGGGTGAGAATTAGTGAGTTTTGGGTAGAGTTAGGCTATACAAAACCGGTCAAGAAAATTGTGTGTTAACGAAACTAAGGTGAACTTATATGTTCACATACTAATAGTCAGATGTGGGATCTTGTTCTTAAGGCTTCTACAGATCAGCGAGCGACTGGTGAACACTCTTCTTAGAGTTTCTGCAAAGAATGTTCTTCTCAGAGATGGTCATCTCTGAGTTCACCTGCTGCTGTGGAGCCAGGTATATTGGTCCTTCCACGCTCATCCTATCCAAGAGGATTCAAGAGCACTCACTATCCAGCGTTGTTGCGAAAAGGCAATAGTGGTGCTATAAGGAGTTCGATAATTGAAAACCTCGTTAACACTGATCATCCCATTTCAACAAACGTCTCCTTCAAAGTAATCTACAAAGTCAAGAATAACCTATCAAAGGCACTACAGATTAATCTTCTTCGTACAGCTGGATCTGTGGTCATTCACATAGAAATACCAGAGCTGTGCATACAAAAGAAGATTACTCAACCACTTCTACTGTCATGGTAACAACTTTGTTGACTTTTGATGATATTAGATGGTTGGAGGCAATCGGCAGGATTTTGTATTACCTAACTCCAGTTACCGATCTTCACCTGTTTAGTTAAAATAACCATAACCAGTTGTATTTTTGTTTGAGAAACTTAATGTACACATAAATACAAAGTAACCATATATTTGCTATTGTACAGCTAGAAAAATGAATTCGCCGCCGACAAGAGACTCTTCGTTGAACTGCATGTTTCATTTTCATCAATATTCTTTCAATAACTCAGATTTTTATTCTAATAATTCGTATCGTTACTGAACTCATTCTTAAATCCGTTACAGTCATTTAGCCTTCTAATAACTAGTCCATGAATTATAACTCTCACCAACTTGTGATATATAGCGCCATCGCCAGCCTATGCCACTGGCGAGTATTTGACCTGACAATCAACTTGATGGATTCCACACTTTTACTTACATTCAGCCAACATACTAACAGGGAAGAAAAAACGGGGAACCATTTGAGCCGTTATCTCTTCCAAGACTTACTTGTTCAATCCATTGGATAAGATCTTCAAAATATTGAATTTGATATAAAAATATTTCCAGGTGATTTTGAGAAAACACCATGGGATTTGATAATGTTGGCATATATTGTTGACATTGAAATTTCTCTACCAATGAATGTACAAGTTGCCTTTTCAAATAACGTATCAGGTGTAGACGACTCAGTGAATGCTCTGACTTAATCCAACAGAATGTTTTGTCGACACAGTGTACAGGAGTGTAGAAATGATAACTCTCTGGATAGGGGATTGTGTGCGTTGATGTCGACGACGATGGCGATGGTGATGCCGATTTTGAAGGATTTTCAAGACAGATTGGCAGTGATGTTGTTTCCATCCATAGTCCAATTAGATAGATTCGACTAAAATGAGAAGGTCAGCGTATAGATGAATGAATGGACAAACGAATGTGTAATATTAATAGTAATAACAATATTAATAGAACCACTATTAGCAATTAATACTGCTTACTATTAGATCACACAGGAGAACTCATTAAAGCCTTTGAATTGAAAAAGGGAGTAAGACGGAGCTGACTACTGTCACCCACGGTGATATTCCTAAAGCCTTGGTCCTGATGGGATACCTGCCATTGTCCTCAGGAATTGTGCTGATATTTTGTGTTACCCTCTTACTAACGTTTTTAATGCTTCTTTTTCCGGCAACGTTCTACCTTTTGCATGGAAAAACATTGAAATTATCCCCATATCAAAACAATCCTCTGGTACTGATATTAAATTTAGGCCTATTGCAATTACTTCTCCCCTTTTAAAATTGATGGAAAAATTACTTTTACTTCGTCTTGAGCCTTCATTGAAACCTTTTAATGATCCTAAACAATTTGCATACAAACTTGGTAGAAGTACCTTGGATGCTGCGGTTATCGTATATCACAATGTTGTTTCTTGTGCCAAATTTGTTCGTAGTGCTTTCTTAGACTACACATCTGCTTTTGACTCTGTACCTAGGGGCCTTTTATTAAATAAGCGATCGTTGACACAAACAGGATCCTGGGCTAAGAGTTGGTTGCATTCTTATTTTTCTGATAGAATGCAGTATACTGTATATAATGGCAAATCTTCTTCTACCTCGCTTACAAAATCCGGTGTTCCTCAAGATGCTGTCCTCTCTCCTTTTCTTTTTTCTCTCTTCCTACACGACCTGCCTCATTGAAACGAAACTAACTTTGTCAAATATGCAGATGATCTGACTGTATCACTGCCTATCACTTCCGAGTCTGACAGCTCCAAACTTAATAGCTTTCTGTTGGACATCAGCAAGTGGTCCAAGTCAAATGGTCTTATGTTAAATCCTTCCAAATGTCAGGCACTTGACTTTACTTTCATGCATCGACGTGACTTACATGAACTAGTTAGTTCGCATGATGCCTGTAGCATAGATGGAACGGAAATTGAAACCAAATCAAGCATTAAATACCTTGGATTAGTTCTTTCCTCTCACCTTTCATGGTCATCCCACATCTTATCTATCTCTGAGAAAATGTTTCGTCTTACCTTCTACACTAAAAAAAGTTAAGACAATCAGGTATCAACCAACCTTTAGTTTTGCAATTTTTAAACTCCTGTATTTTACCTATTGCTCTCCATTAATCTTTCCTGAGCTTCTCAAAAAAGACTATATCATATTACGAAGGGTATTAATTGAATGCTGTGAGTAAGGCTTCTGGTATGCCACTGTGTGAGCTCGCCAAGTCGAGAGACATATAAATTCCTTTACAAAATGGGCAAAGGCTGTACTGTCAGACTCCCTGCACCCACTCGCTTTATTCATAACTATCCCCTTGCATCTCATCAGGTAGGACGAGAAGTCAATATAATAAGAAGTTATATGCTCGCACTACTAAGTATAAAAATTCTACAATACCCTATTTAGCCCGTATTTATGTGACGAAGACTCTGTTAGACGTGAAACACATAAGTTACTATGTACTTAGGACAATGAATCGACCCTTTCATCGTTCATCTTACTGTAATTAATTTTATGGTGTCATCCTTTCTATCGTTTAATTATAACTTTGCTATTTTATTTTAGTTGTTATTACTATTATTACTATAATTTTATACTTTATGCATATTTTTCTCCATATTGCATACATTAATTTGTTATGTAGCTGCTATAACAATCGTTTTATTACTGTTACGTAATGTGTATTTTTAATTTTTTTTGTCGTTTTTGAGTAAATTAGATGCAATAGTGTACTGAATGCTGAGAATTCCTTGTTGTATCATTAGTGTACTGTTTTGGGAATAAAGCAAGTTATCATTATCATTATTAGATTATGAGGAAGACAGCACGAGGGAATTGAGAAGATAGGAATACATTTTACATTGAAAACCAGGGAGTACTGGACACCTTCTGTTTCATCCTAGTTTGGGAATCATCGACAGTACGCACCCACGCTACGGCTTTCGAACCCAGGACCTGCCGGCTACAAGGCAGGCTCGTATACCATTCACCCACTGGAACCCGATTCAATGGCCAGTCCATGAATTCTGACTTCTACCAGTTCGTGATTTAGCGCGATCCCAACCATTATATATATTATATATATTAGAATAAAGTATAGCAGTCACCAGGTGACTTTCAAAGACCTTTCTAAATGAAAGACTGCAATATATCCTTGAGTTTATTGATGAGTCGTAAATTCAAATGCTTGGACTTCATCGTGGAGCCATTCTGTGCTTACCTTAGGTCCGTCCTAATCCTGATCTAAACCTGTCTTTAACCTAGACTTCTAAGCGTAACCTTTCGCCGTACAACATAAACAGCAGTCATAACCTTGGCTGAAGGTGACGAAGTTAAACTTTAGACATCGAACAGCTGTGAATGCACCAATGACCTTGAGACACTCAGTCACAGCAAGATAGTGAAACTTGGTAAATAATACACCACACATATTCATGAAGAAAACTGTTATGACATGAAATGCGATACTATTAAACGGAGTATATATACAATAAGGGATATTTCAGGGAATAGGTTAGGGAAAGAGTAAAGACTATAGGGTAGGAACTCGCCAGTGGCAATGAACGCAAATCATTCGTTGGATTACAGAACCTGTCGTTATTATAACGCCAGTATTGTCGGTCTACACGAACTGAAGTGTAAATTTCATCCCAAAGTCGTGTTCAAACAATGTTTAAATAGTAGGTTAATGGCATGCTAGAGTTAGAATTAGTATTAGAGTTAGGGTTAACAGTAGGACTAGGCTTAGGATCAGAAGTTAGGATCAGATTTTGTAAACCAACATGTGTGGATTAAGGTGTTTTAATACCATCTGTATTCCCCTTGTAACTAAGTAAAAAGAAGGAGAGGGGATAGAGAAAACGATAGAGAAAACGTGCAAACCCTCACATTATCCGAACAATAGTGTCACATCCCACTGTGTTTATCAGTTTACATGTATGTGTGGAGACACGTACATAGGGAGGACCCGTCGGTCTATGCAGGTTAGGACTATAGAACACATTCTAAAGTGGATCAGACACTTAAATTCATTGAAGCCTTAGGCATAAAAAGACTTAAACATGTCTTATGTGTCCAAAAGCTATTTGTTATCACCTTAAACCTGCCTTGGTAATCCAAGCTAGAACCAAGGACCAATTCATTTCATAATATTTTCAACCCCTTCTTTGCCTTGTATTTCTCTTTTCTCTTTCTCACCCACACCTTTTGCGTCTCCCAACTTACCCATTATTTGTGACCTTGACCTGTATTGTAATTATTCATGCCTTCTTGCCTTCTATAAAAACTGTGTATGACAAGTACTAGTGTGTGTGTGATCAGAATGTCCGAAATGTGTTGCGCCAATACACTACATTACACGTTTCAGATACACTACGCGTTTTCTTATTGTGTTGTCGCAATTCATAAAGGGAACTAATTGCTTTAAATTTTTGGAGAGGGGATTGTTTTCCATATAGATAGAAGGTCACTGGTGCGTTCGCCCTCCGTGGCCACCATCCTTTATGTTTGCCGGATTCGGGAGAGATTACAGTTAAGTTATTTTATTTTTTTAAATTTTTGATTACAGCTTGATTCCACACTGTATTTTTGGTACAGGTATGAAATTTTCAGCATGTGATATTGGTAGCCGAAATTTTGCAGGCCGACCATAGATATCACGTGCGCATCTGCAGAGGATCGAACCCCGGACCATGTTCATGGTCGGCAAGAATCCTAATCGTTGTGCCACCGACACATATAAGTAGAGATTATGGTTAGGTTTTGATAAAGTCTCAGTGTTATACAGTAATATTTACTGATGACGTTGTGAAACTAGTAATGATAACATAAATAAGAGAGAATATAAGTCATCTACAGTAGTTTTACCATATAAGGAGGGGACACCTGAGGCCCTACGTAGGATTTCCAATAAATCAGGAATTAGGGTGGCATTCAAACCTACAAACCCACTCAGACAGGACAAGCTCTGTAGGTTTAAGAACCCTGTCGGTTGACCTAATTAGAGAAAAAAATATAATTTACAAAATACCTCGCAATGACAATGAGGTGAAACTAGTAGATCGGGGGTAATCAGATTGTTGGAACATAAGAACTTAGCTAAGGTAAGAATGGTTGATCCCACGAAGACAGATGAGTAATTTAGAAAAAAAGCTCAGCAACTGCGCATCATGCATCAACACACAAGCATACAATAGAGTGGGAGAGGGTTGAAATTCTAAGAAGTAATCTAGGTTGGTGGAGATAGAGAGAGGTTGATTACTGAATCCTTGTTCACAGAATCTACACCCAATACAACACGTGCAATAGGAATGACTCATCACTCATACATGAAATATGGAAAATACTACTACCAATCAATTCAAGCGATGAAAAATAATGGAATTATATAAACGAAGTTAGAAAGTTAAGGTTAGGTTTCAGTTAGGAGACCAAATTTTGGTAACTCTAAACTAATAACTTAGCCACTCAGAACGAAAATACCTGATAAAGGAACGTAACCAATCAGATAAGCCCGTAGTAAATACGCTTTATGTAAAAAGCTCTTTTATAGACATAAAAGTCAGTGTTGAAAAACAGTTATACCAGGTGACTTCCTTATATGTGTCCCAAGAAAACCTCTTAATTCCTTATTGCATTCCTCAGGGATAGTTGAAAGCTATTTCTGCACGTTGGTTCAGCCAGATAACTGTATATCATCATGCTGTTTCTTGACCCATTCACTAATCTACAGCACCCTTGAACCTTAGAAAGGGACGGCATACATTTTCGAAATGATCTTCTGCTACTGAAGTCTGGGCATCTGTACGCAAACTCATCAATAGAGGCTGTGTACATCACTGTAAATGCATTACTCTTCTTTCGCCTATACGTGTCTTCTGCCTTCCTATAAGGCTGTTATACAAACGGTACTTAAATACTAGATACCTGCTAAGTAATTCGGTGTATGACATGCATAATTCCGCCTATGTGCTTCGGACTCATCTGATTGGCCACTCAAGGTCATAACATCCCTTCCATTGGACAGTTTCGTTTTGAGTTGCTATAGTTTAGAGTTACTCAAATTTTGCGCTTCAGAGCTATGGTTCTTCCCGAAGTCACTGATACATTTGCGCCTGCTGACTGCCCACTGTCTAACTTTGCGCTGAAGATTACTGTCAAGGTCTTTGGTGGCTGCTATAGTATAGTAGGAGATTATACTTTGCGCATTGAAAACTGGCGCCAAGGTCAAAATCAGGGTTATTGGGAAAAACAAAACAAAACGAACAGGAAAGTAGGCGTTTTACTTACCAACTCTTAGTCGTCTCCTCTTCTGAATGCTTGGAATGCACAGTTTTAAGGCAGTTAATAATCTGAGATAATTGCTCTTGAGAAATTTGATGCATTGACTCAATGAATAGAATCAACCACCAGTTAGATGACTGTTCATTCGTGTTATCAGCTGTCAATTGTTTTGAATCATTGATATATTGAGTTATACAATCGATTAATTGATCCACTGTATGCAGTCCATCAGAAAAATTGAAGCGGGAAACTTTCACTGATGTACTACTTTGTTGAAGAATAAAATGAATATAAAGGAAAAACATTTAGTGGGAAATTTCCAGGTGTTTTATTTGAAGAAGCACTGAAAACCAGGGGATACTTAATTACTATTTCATCCTACTCTGGGCTTCTTCAACAGTATGCAGCCATGCGTTCAAATAGCATTCGTACGCATGACTTTCCATTGTCGAGATGAATTCATCGACTAGTGAGCTATTAGATCCTAATCAGTAGTTGAATGTTAACAGGATTACTTCTTGACGTGAAGTTTGTGGGTTCATGGGTGCTTAATGCTGAAGTGTCCCAAATGTAGATCCAATATCTGTCAAACACTATTTGGCTTTCAGTTTTTCTCCATGTAATGTTAGCCTGTGATTGTAAAATTCCTTTCCTATCTATCCTATTGCTATTCTTTCTTTTGCGTTCAAATTTATACTACTTATCACTAGTAAGTAGTATGAGTTTGTATTGATCACTTCTTAACCATGGCACTGTTTGCCCATCACTTGTAACTTCTTTAATTAGTGGATGGTGACTAGTAGTGGAATCCAGGATGTGCATCTCCTCCTATGTGGGACTCGTCAGCTGGATGCACCTGCATTTCTCAGTAAGTGATGATGTCCTCACCGAGACTCGAACCCAGTGCCCTTAGTTCCAAACGCCAAAGCGTTATCCACTCGGTGTGAACATCATCGCTCACTGAGAAATGCAGGTACATCCAGCTGACGAGTTCCAAATAGGACGAAATGCGCTTTGTCCCAGATTCCACTGCTAGTCACCATCCACCAATTAAATACTAACTAAATGCCCAGACATCGTTGAATCATTTGCGCAAGAAGCCGACATGTCAATCTGAGACCGAGCACTTCGGTCCAATCAATCGACGGGAAAATCAAAAATTCAATTATAATTGTAACCTTTGTCATTACTGGGTATAGCGAAGATTCATTAGTCCTTATAATTTCCCCTTTGGTAAGTCTTATTTTGGCTTACGGCGTGGGATGTAAGTCTGCATGGGAACGCCATCTGTCACTGGGTAACTGACGAACCTCAAACAAGGCAAAGTGTGCATCCTTAAACGGATCAGAAGAACTTATTATTATTTAATAAATGTTTTGAGACATTTCTGTAGGTCAGAATGGAAATATTGACACTGGGTCATCGTTAGCGCTAAGCTGTTTTAATTCTGGTGTCTAGGATGAAATCGAAAAGTCTGCCAGACTATATTTGGTTGATTGGAGCCAGCAGTGGAATCCAGGGCGCTTTTTTTCTGTGTTCTATTTCAAACTAATCAATTGAAAGTGGATACATTCTCAGTGAGGGATTGCATTCCCCATTTCACTCTAATAGGGATCAGTCAAAATGTCGTTCAAGATAAATTCAAGACCACTGCGTCATTTAGGCTAGTAAAACCACAACTTTTGTTCAGCGAAGAAATTTCTTTTCAACGACTTCATTTTCAAGTTGTACAGTTGTATTTATATTATAGAAAAAGGTTATTAAGTGGCACTAAATAATAGTAATAATAACACGCACTTTTCCTGCATCTAACTTGCAACTAGTTTTTACCAACCGAAACATGATTAGACAGTGCGTCAAGGATAGATTACCGCTTATGTCCACATCTATGTGTATTTACTCTTTTACCTGCTCTTGTGGAGCTGATTATATTGGACGCTGTAAGCGTACACTCTCCAAAAACGTGTAGCTGAACACTATCTGGTTTAGTTAATGAAAGGCGAACGTAGAACTGCAAAGTCGTCTATTTGTGATCACCTGTTGGAGTCTGGTCATTCATCCCCATGTGATTCATCTTTCAAAGTTATCTACATGGCAAAATCGAATCGCTCCGAAAGTTTATGTTTTTTCTTCACTCATGCATAGCTAGCCAAAGCTTTAGCTACATACATGAAAAGAAACTTAAATTATGTGTTCAAAAACGTTTTGTCAAACCATTTTCTTTACCTTGGTCATAGTAATTAGTGTTCTTTCTAGTTTTTATTTTATTTTATTCTACCACTTGAATTCATTCCACTTCACTTCACATCTTTATTCTTATCATAATCGTACTCCTAATGTTTTAAAATTTTTAGACAACACTTGACATTTTTGATATCGATTCACTTATAAAACAATCTTTAATAATTTTATAATCAATCCACTTCAGCCGTACCCCCTTTCAACATTTTAATTATCGTTATTCTTATCACATGTATATGTATATCGACTGAGCAATTATATGGTGCCACTTAATAACCTTTTTCTGTAATATAATATACGACTGTACAGTTGGCTTGAAAATGAAGTCGTTGAAAAGAAATTTCTTCGCTGAACAAAAAATTCCACAATAGTTGGTTTATTAGATGTATCACACACAGTAAGTGGAACAGTATTATTTACTGGATGACGACATGCAAGTCAAATATGCGCAAGACAACACCAACAATAAGGAATCTAAATCGCCAGTAGTAATTCCATAAAAGGAAGAGAACTCGGAAATCAGCTTACGCACAATTCTTAACAATGCAGGCAGAAATAAAAGTGGCTGCTGGCATTCAAACCGCCCCACAAGCTCAATTAGAAATAAGCTCTGTCGGTTAAAGTCTGGATCCTGTAGAGCATATAAAACAAAACAATTCAGTTTATCTAATACTATGCCTGCAATGATTGTCAGGTCAAATACATAGATGGATCAAAGTAGTAGAACAGGGTCAGTCAGTCAGACTAGCTGAGCATAAAAACCTAGTAAAATCTAGAGAATAGTTCAGCTGTAGCACTACATGCAGTTACACACAACTATTCAATAGGATGGGATGAGATGACAGTTTTAAAATCTAATGCAACAGGGTATAGGGAGAGATTGATAACAGAAGCTTTGTTTATCGAATCAACTGCAAATACATGTAATAGAAATGATTCATCACCTGTCCCTGATATCTGAAAAGTTCTACTACTTCCATGACAAATAGGAGAGAACAAAGAAAACTATGAAACTCAAGTTTCGACGTCGTGTGATTATAATTGAAGAAATGATTATGAACAGCAGTAAATTGTGTTCGAAACTTTGTCATCCAGTAAATAATACTGTTACACTCACTGTATGTGATACATCTAATAAACAAACTAATATGAAATCTATCGTTTACTCACAATACAATATAGGCAACACTCATCATTCTCTGCCCAGGTATACATAAACTTACCTTACTGTGGTGCAAATATAATCACATATTGATTGACTAATAGTTTCCATAAATATTTCATCATTACCATAGAATATAATAAAATGATATGTAAGAAATAATTTTAAATAAAAATATAAAATATCTCGATTTAATAAAGTTTTCATAATGAAATTATTAAAATTCTTTGATGTATTCAATAAATTCTCATCAATATCATCATCATCATCATCATCATGATAAACGTCTGCCTCATTTGAATTTAATCTTCGCTCCATAGGGAATTGTTCAATAGATAATTGAACAATTGTTTGATAATTATTTGAATGACTTTGAAGTAATTCATTCAATTTTTGAGGGTTTTCAAATGGACAATCATTATCATCATTTAACTGAGCTGATTGACTTGTTGTATCGTTGGCAAAATGAAATTTCCATGTACAGTTTAAAGCATTCACATGCATACAATATTGTTTTAATTCATTAACTTGTATATCATGCGGACAATTTAAATTTAAATAAAGTGTATAACATTCAAATAGATTGATAAGTAAGCGATTTAATGATTTCCATGTTTGTAATTTACTTAATTCAATGATACCAATATTAAATGTTGAATTAACTTTGATATCAGAGATGCAGGATTCATTATTTTTGTGGTCAGTATCTTCAGAAGGGTTTAAAGCAAAGCTTACAAGAGCAATTAAGGATTCTGAATTGTTAGTCATTTCAGGAAGTCCAATGAATAGATCTAAAAAGAATTGAAAACAAAATCCACGAAAACAACATAAGTTAGTGGGGAATTTTCAAGTGTGTTGCATTTTGCAAGTTTGATCACTGTCTAAAATCATTTTTGGAGAAGCACTGAAAATCAGAGGATACTCAATTACTGTTTCATCCTACTCTGGTCCTCTTCAACAGTATGAGGCAATGCGTTCAAATAGCATTCGTACTCATGACTTTCCATTGTCGAGATGAATTCACCAACCGGAATCCAAGAAGACAAATCAGCCGTGAAAACACGTGATATATATTCCCGTTTCATATCAATGCATATAGATCATTATGGACATCAATTTTTATTGGGATAATGTCAAAATCTTAGATAGAGGAAACACCAAAAATGCAGTCAGGGAATTCCTAGAAGTCTGGTACTCAAACGAAAATGCAATTATTAAACACGTGAATATAGACGAAATATACCAACTAATAAAAAGTAAATCACATGTGACCAGAAAGTTTAAAATCCAAGTCAATAGAAAATGGTCAATACTACATATGTAAAGATGGTTACCGGGAGACGCAATTCTATCACCACTCATGAAAAAATTTTAATCATTTCACTTTATGCTATAAATACTGCACTGAAGATGTTGTCTAGAAGGACGATGAAAGCTCCGCAGCTGAACCAACCAGCTCAGAGAACACTATTCATTGCAAATCATCCACCTGAGCTTCAAATCTTCTCTATTATTTCAAAATCATTTGTGTATACTTCCTTCGTTCCGGTGGCTGAATGGTGTACGAGCTCACCTGGTAACCGGAAAGTCCTGGGTTCGATCCCCTGTTGTATAATTGCGTACTTCTGGAAAGTCCCAAACAACAAGAACAAAACAGCTGTCCAGCACTCTCAGGTTATTGTGCGTCAGCGATTCAACGGTATAACGCTCACCAACCATGTCTCACGTGACCCGGTGTTCGATCCCCGGCTGACACACTCCTAAACCTCGATAAGCTCGTCGCAAGGCTGATAAAGAGGGAAGGTTTGGGGGGACATCAAGGCTCTAGCTTGTAGCCGTATGTTCCACTGACGACATAAAGGAATAAAATAAAAATAATAATACTCACTTGAACTACTATTCACGCCTTCTTCGATTGCAGACTTTGAAACAGTTGACTGTCTGTCATCCAGCAACTTGTTATCCAACACTGTACAATCAATATCCAATGATCTATTGATAGCAGCATTTTTAATATTTCTTGACATTTTAGTTTGTGGCAAGGAATTACACATGATAGCAGTCTGTTGACTATGCGTTACCATGGTGTTATTATTATTGCTATTATTATTATTATTACTGAGGAGAATTTTCTGATTATCTTGTAAATGAGATACTAATATCTGTAGTCTTTCATTATCAGTTCGAAGATATTTCAGTTCTGAATAGAGACGTGACATTTCATCACGTAGTTGGTCAACTTGATGAGCACTAGCCAATGCTTCCAATTGGACATCAGTAAGCTTTGATTCTCTTTCGGCAAGCTGACATTTCAAATGTTTCACTTCCTCTTGCCATGATTTTTCATCTGGTCTGGATAGAACAAAGAGGATTATTGAAAGAAAGATAATAATGAAATTTTCTTTAGTTAATTTTTGTTAGACTACTGATTGACTGAAACGAGTAGTCGCATACTACTCATATCAACGAGCTGGTTGGCTAGTCAGATCGAAGTGTTCTAAACCCGGGACAGTCATTTCGCTCGTTTGAAGCTGAGCACCTTACCAGTGAGTAGGCGTGATAAGAATCGGTTTAAACTAGTAATCATTGTGTGAATCATCATATGATTCATCGTGTGATTGGATGACTGTAAAAACTTCAGCATTCTTGGATAAAGAAAGGAAGACAAAATTTGCAATATGAAATGATATCAGCTTTTTATTGCACTTCCCGGGAGCTAAACTCACAACATTATACAGCGCTACTTTTTCTATAAGCCTCTCAAAATTGGATAAATACTCTGCTGATGTCACCTCCAACTGCGTTTATGAATTCACGTGCACTTGCTGGAGCAAGTACATTGGAAGGACAGAAAGAAGGGCTTCTATCAGGTGGTTTTCTGAACATATTCCAAAAAACCTGTGCCTGAAAGGAAGTAGATATTCTCAGAGTGCAATTACCAGACACATTGTTGATACCGATCATCTCTTAGAGATTTCTAAGTCCTTCAAAATATTAAATAGACAAAGGACAGCAAATTTAGTATGATTTACCGAAGCCATCGCAATCAAACGATTCAAACCAACCAGACTTATGCATGCAGGTAGAGAGTGTCATTAACCTCTCTCTTCCCTGGTAACTGAATTTTGATTTTGATTACATTAATAATTAGTCATCTAATTCAGTGATCTCAACTCACTGAACAACTCACTGACAAAATTTATCAACCAATAAGAAAGAAACTTCACACACGATTGGCCAAAGTTCAAGTCACAGAAACAATCAGTTCCAACACAAGTAACCTAGAAGGTGTGAAAACATACATAAACAACCAATCACGTCCAAGGTCACCAGGAGGAATGATTAATAAACTCGTGGAGAAACCTAAAAGCTCACTTCAATTTGAAGTATGCGCTGAAGATGTCACCCAGTAAGGTGATGAAAGCTTCGCAAACTAACTATCCAGCTCAGAGAACAAAACCACATCAAAATTATCCACCTGAGCTACAAATCTTCTCTATCATATCTAAATCTTAATCTCACAAACTGTAACCGCTTTTGTTTCTTGAGTTGCTATGTGAACCTACAAGCTAACACTCTTCTGTTAGTCAATCTTTTTCTGTTTTCTGTCTTACCCCTCCCTCCACCCTCTTTTCAACTTTAAAAGCGCATAAATTGATGATGAAAACTTAAACTATAAACATTGTAATGCTGCTTTCATTTAGATGCGTCAATTTTATAGTATCTCTTCTCTACCACCACTCAAACATTAAAGTATGTTATTATCATCTATATGACCATTGTAATCTCAGGTAGTCTACAACAGCTCATGAGAACCTGTGAAATAGAATGACGGCATCATTTTATACTGCGAATTTCGTCGGTTTCCTTTCTTCATCGAAATTTATCAAGGGAACACCAAATGTATGAAGTTTTCATCATTTTTTTCTTACATCTTGATCTTGGTTCAATCATTCGTCAACCAATCAGAATATTTATTTTTCGTTGATCTAGACGAATCCTTTACTAATCAGAATAATCTATTTCTAACTGCCTCAGGCAGATCTTAATACGATTAAAAATATATAAGAATGATGCTTTTTTTCGTATTAAAGTTGTACTCTAACAGTCATAGGGCCAGTCTTTGTCTTTAGATAATCACGTGACTCAGAAAAGCGGGAGATCCTAGGCATGAATAAGCGTATTCAGTATATTAGTTGGGCTGTCTGTTGCATCAGTATTATGATGCCCACATGCATGAATCCACTCGGTCATATCACCAAATAATTAATATGACCCGTTCGTTGCACAAGAGGTGGTGGCTCTTGTGGCCCAAATGGTCTAATGGATAACGCTTTAGCGTTTGGAATTGTAAGCGTTGGATTTGAACCTAGGTGGGAACACCATCACTCACTGGGAAATGCAGGTACGTCCAGATGACGAGTCCCAAATAGGACGAAATGCGAACTATCCTGGATTCCACTGCCGATAGTCACCATCCACAGATTAAATTCTAATTAAATGCCGAAATGTCAATCTGAGACCGAGCACTTCGGTCCAATCAATCGACGGGAAAGCCTTAAATTGAATTAAATATATAATTATATAAACCTGATGTGTCATAAATTCCTTCCCACTAACCTTTAACTATCTGCTTACCAAGACCACTACAAAAACAAGGGCGATAAAATGGTCATTCTACATTCACAAAGAAACGGTGAGATCAACATTTACGACTGAAGTAGATGACAAAATACTTTAAAATTAAACGATGAAAGTAGAATACTTGCCAACCGAGTGCCTCACTTGGTCCGGAGTTCGACCCCGGGCTGACGCACTCCTCGACCTCTATCAGCCGGTGTTAGTAAGGCATGTGAAGAGGTAAGTTTGAGTATGAGGCTGGTAACCCCACCTCGCAAAACAAAACAAAAAAACATCAAAGCTCAAGTTTGAAGGCCTATACTCCATTCGGGAAGAGGAGGGGAGTAAAGCGCACACACACAGACACACACTCACATAACATAAAAGCCATTTTTCTAAAAAAAAATTAGCTTACTCTAATTTTGTACTGGTTGTCAGTGCAGATTTAGCATGATCAGCGCTCAATACTTTCATTTGTTTATCTGAATCACAGGAATTCTGTATACCGGATTGATTTGAATGTCCCGATTGAGAATGATACGTGCGTGGATTATTATTATTATTGCTTGCTCGATCTGTTCATGAAATGAAGCGAAGAAAAGAGGATTATTATTTATCATTCATATTTCAGACTTCAAATGTGTCAAATATGTGTGAAGGGAATAATTGAGTAATTGAGCAGAGTATAAGAAATCTCCCTGTATCATGATGTCAACCAGTCTCCACTATTTACCTTATCGTGTCAAATGATGTAAATGGAGTTTATTGGGGAATACGATACCCAGATTCTACGGAAGACCCAAAATACACAAGCAAAATATCCAGTTACAACCAATTGTATCACTGCAAGGAACTCAAACATACAATATATCCAAAGAATTATACAGAAAACTAAAACACCTAACGGAATCTTGTGATCACTCCATGAACTCTGCTATTCAATTCCTAGAGAAAATCAGAGGCATCCAAATTGATGAACAAGAAATAATGGTATCCTTCGATGTGACAGCATTATATACCTCAATCGGACAAAACCTAGCAAAAGAAACCATGGAGCAATTACTTAGCAACGACGAACAACTTCCACAACAATCAAAAATGCAACACACAAGCTGGATGGAATGCATAAATCTATGCCTAACAACATATTTCCGGTTCAACGGCCAAATATATGAACAAGTCAAAGGAACACCCATGGGATCGCCAATATCAGGTTTGATTGCAGAAGCAGTCATGCAAAGACTCGAAAACATAATCCTATCAAAGATCAAACCCAAGATTCGGATACGCTACGTCGACGACACATTTGTAATAATCGAAAGAAACAAATTAGATAAAACTCACAACTTAATAAACAACGTCTTCAACGACATCAAATTCACAAGAGAAGAGGAATCCGAGAACAAAATCCCATTTTTGGACGTCTTAGTCAGGCGAAAAACCACAGGGAGTTAGAAACTCAAGTTTATAGGAAATCAACTCACACAGACCAAATCCTAAATTACAACAGCAACAACCCAATAACACACAAAACGAATTGCATACAAACACTATTCAAGAGGTCCAGCCAGGACTCATTGCAGCACTCATCGATCTCATGGATGTCTTCCAAAAGAATCGATCAATATTCACGGAATTTCATCAAAAAGACACATACCCCCAAGCCAAGCTATCAAACCAAAAGCCCCCAAGGAAAGCACAAAGAGAATCTCCCTGCCATAAATAAAAGATATCTCAGAAATCACGACAAGACTCTTCAAACCTTTAGGAATTGACGTCGTACACAAACCAACAAAATCACTTCATTCAGCTGGCTCTGAGTCAACCAAAAGACTCAACAGCGAACGAAGATAAAACCAACATCATCTACAAAATAAATTGTAACAACTGTGAAAAGCACTACATTGGCCAAAGTGGACAATGTCCCCTTCGTCTTCGTATCCACGAACATAAGCTAGCCGTCAAAAGACATGATATCCACTCCCTCACTCATATCACCTCACTGCATACAGACAACCACGGACATCAATTCGACTGGGACCATCAGCGTTCAAATATGAGACAGAGGAACGCTAGAGAATTTTTAGAATCCTGCCTGGTATTCCAGTGAATCATCAATCAATAGACTCATCGAGATAGACAAAATTTATCAACCGATAAAAAAGAAACCTCACACATATACACACACAAAGGGTCAAAGTTCAAGTCAAGGAAACAATCACTTCCAATACAAATAGCCTAGAAGGTGTGAAAGCACACAAAGACAACGAATCACATTCAAGTTGGTCACCAGGAGTGATGATGAATAAACTCGTGGAGAAGTCTAAAAGCTCACTTTACGAAATTGAAGTATGCGCTGAAGGAAGATGTTGCTTAGTAGGGAGGGCGATGAAAGCTTCACAAATTAACTATCCAGCTGCCCAAAGAACACAGCCACATCAAAATCAATCATTCACCTGAGCTACAAATCTTCTCTATCATATCTAATATGATAAAAAGGTGGAGGGGGAAGTAACTTCCCCAAGCAGGGGAGGGACAGATAAACGATTACGAATAAACGCTTGAGTGTTATTCGTATTCATCAGTGTTACTTGTAGGGAAATCCTTTTTGTTCGTTGTTTTTCGTTGTTGGCACTTAAAGTACTTGTCTCACTTCGTTGTAACTGGATCTTCTTGGTGGCAACCAAAGCCATAATGCAGTGGGAATCAGTTTCACACAGGATTACGATTGCAAGATTCAAGCCTATTAAATTATCAAGAATCTCCATGTCGCTATTCTTTCTCTGGTATATTTTTGCCCATTATGATTCTTTTTATATTCTCTACCATTATGTAGCCACTTCTACAATGATTTTCCTGATTGTGGCAGACTGGATAATGCGAAAGGCCGCTAGAGACGAGGAAACAGGCATAAAATGAACCCACACAAAAAAACTTGGAGGATCTGGACCTCCCCGATGATACATGTGTCTGATTTCCCACAAACTGGAAGATATGAAAGTGATGACAAGCAACAAGTTGGCAGAAGAAGAATCCAGAGAAGATAGGACTTCAGATGAACATAGACAAAACAGAGGTGATGAAGATTCCTGGCCACCAGCAACAGAAACAGCAATAACAACAGACAACAATCAGCATAAATGGGAGGAGTTTAGAAGAAGCAGCCTCCTTTACCTACCCTACCTGGGAAGTTTCGTTTCAACTACAGGCGGACAGAACTGATGAGGATATCAAGGTGAGGATCGGGAAAGCAAGGCAAGCTCCCATTGCTCCCAAGTCTGTGTGGAGGTGAACACTCAGCACTCAGCATGATAAATAAGATCCGTATTTTCAACTTCAATGTTAAATCAGTCAGTGATACTATACGGATCAGAGACTTGGTTCCGCGCCGCATCACGAAGGCCATTTTGAACAAACTACACACGTTCATCAATAGCTAGCTGTCTTCGTTCAATACTACACAAGATAAGATGGCCAGCCAGAAAAGGTGAGCAGCAGGGATCTCTAGCAATGAGCGAACCGACCCACCAGGTACCAATTATGCCAGAAATATGCAGGAAGAAATTGAAGTGGATTGGCTATGATCTGGGAAAACAAACCTTCAAGTGAGTGACATCCTACGCCAGGCCATTGCTCGATTGGAAGGCGAATGGGAAGCGGTGAGTTGGTCATCACTGCGGGGATGACATGGAGGAGGTGATGTGAAGAGGATAAGAAAGCATGTGGTCAGACATGGAGCCAGGTGAAAAAGGTGGCAGAGAACCTAACGCTGAAGCTCTTTGTTCCTCTAGGAATTGAAGGAAACAATAATAATATAATGCGGACACGAACTGATGCACTTCTCTGCAAAGTTCTTCGTTAGGTATCAGTCATTCAAAAAGTCATCAAAAAGGCTCATTTTCAACCTGGAAGGAACTCACTGAATAAAATTCCGTAAGTATCAAGAACTGAGCACATAAAATTAACTATACACCCCAGTGACTCGTCAACGCATTTGGTACTCAGTCTTACAGAAGGTCTCTGACAGAAGCGCCTTAAGTGTCGCGGAGATTTTACAGTTTCTCAGGGCACATTAATTCCCTACAACATCGTAGATACGCTTTATTACCAGAAGATACTAACAGCGATAAAATCTTGATACTAAGCTGGCTAGCTACATATGAGGTGACAACAGTATTGTAAACATGATTGACAGGATACAGTCAGTATACATGCACACACACACACATACACACACAGGCACATATGTATTTCGTCTGTCATTACTGTTTCCTATTATGTCAGATTGCTTATCAAAGTCACCCTTCAGCGGTTAAATACTACACAACAACAAGGAAATCTAAATTTTCTTGTTGTTGTGGTTGTTGAATGCATGAATGACAGATGGTTAGTCACAAAAAGAGGCATAAATTGATTAAAAGATAATTACCACGGGTAATAACAATAATAATAAGAATAATGATTACACTCATTATTTCACTTGATGAGTCATTACCCATGATCATTAGCAATATTATTGGTTAATTGCTTTAAACTATTCAACCTGGCAAGGCAGTGTGTATACAAGTGCATACAAGGCAAGTGCACTGCTATACACGTCAATGCACGCATATTTGAATGGGGTTCAGGCATATTTTCACCGTTGAATCTATTATTATTATTATTATGATTTTTACAAATATTATCCTAATTACATGAAGAAAAGGTTTATTTATTGATTAGAAAAAAGAAAAGGAAACAGCTGATGGCTTTACGACTATCTACAACACTTGATGGGGATGGTGATGATGGCGATAGATACTAAGAGTTGGATAAACTACTTAAATGTTATTTAAGTGGTAATTGTGCAAATCGTGCAAACGTGCGTCGGTGGCATATCGGTTAGGACGCTCACCGACCATGCACATGGTCCGGGGTTCGATCCCCGGTTGCCAACGCCCTCCTTAGCCTCGCTAAGGCAGAAATAATGCTGTTAAAGCGGAGAGGTTGGGAATGGGGCTAGAAACCCCATTCCGTAAAAATTAAACAACTGCTACAGAAACTTCAAGCCACTAGCTTGAAGCTTTATGCTTCACTGGGGAACGTGAAGGAAAAGAAAATTGTCTAAATGGACTAAGTTCGAGCCACCTAATCTATAATTCGAAACACCGAAAGTATCCATTGAGGAGTCATGAAGAGAATAAAAGACAGATTCAGCGAAGGAAATTTTCTTTATCGACGAAATCATCTTCACAGGCTGGCTGTACAGTCGTATTTATACCTAACAAAAATGTATTTGTTTTCCTTCACGTTCCCCAGTGGAATATAAGGATTCAAGCTAGTGGCTTAAATTTTCTGTAGCAGTGTTTATTTTTACAGGATTGGGTTGCTAGCCTCATGTCCAAACTTTCCTCCTTACCAGCATTATTTCTGGCTTAGTGAGGTAAGGGAGTGCATCGGCTGGGGATCGAACTCTGGACCATGTGCATGGTCGGCGAGCGTTCTAGCCGTTATGCCACCGACGCACCACAAGAATGTATAGTGGTGTATCACTGAGTAAGAGGGGGTGATATAATTGATATAATTACTCAGAAGTGGCTTTAGAAGTGAAAATTAAAAGTTGTAAATTACATGGTACTCAACGACCCAAAGATATAAATTTGATTAGGTCAAAATTGCTCTTGAGTGAGAAGAAAGGTGGTATTTGAAGAGGGCGTGAAATGCACAGAAGGAGCATATGATAGTGATAATAGTGAATTAATTATTAAAGGAAAAGTAAACTAAAAGTAAAATTAAAAATCAAAAAAGAAAAGAAAAAAGGAACGAGACCAAGGTAGAATAAGAGACTGGACAAACTTCTTCTGTATACAAAGTTCAGGGTTGTATTGACGAATTGCCAGCGCCACCGCCATACAAAAAAGCTAAAACCTGACTTCCTTTGTACCATTTAGCCTCACCTTGTAGATGATCTTGAAAGACGACTCTGGTGGAACTACGTGGCCTGAGTTCATCAAATGCTCGAGGATTGAGCTAGTAACTGTCTTGCATTGTCCCTTTGCTAAACATGTTCAGAGATGTGGCCAGTATAACCAGCTCCATACGAGCAAGTGAATTTATAAATACACTTTGAGGTGGCCCAAAGTGGCGGCAGTTTATCCTTCATATATCCGTTGATCATTTGTCGGCTGTAGAAATTGACACGTAGCTTAGCCGTAAAGAAGGCTTTCCTCAGTGATCTGCATAAGCAGCGATTCTTCAGGATCTCAGCTGCAGTATTACTTTTAAATTCAACACTCATAAATAGCAGTTTCTTCTGCCCCGTCTGGATTCTTTTAGGGTTTTCCCTTAACTTCATGTTTTTCCCCATAAATTTTGGAGGATATTCATTCTCTATGAGGACTTGTCTGAACTTACTGACTGACTGACGGGTTTCAATACAGAAAGGTGTACAGGAGTGTAGCAGTTCAAGTTACCTCTCTCTCTCAATGTAACGCATAAAGGAAGAACCAAAGAGAATATAAGCGATTCGGTAGAACGATGATAAGCAGACGTGTGAGAGAGAAAGAATATTACCATAAAAAAGAATTAGGATGCTTTTTGGACAGAGCAGATCAGACACAGAGAGAGAGAGTGAGCGCATCTCCACCATTGTGAATGATTTTGAGCCGTATCCCTAATAGTCTTCAGCTATTGGTCCTTAGCGTCCCAAAGACCACAACCAGACAGTCTTAACCTTCCTACATGGATCAAACTGACAGTTAAAGATGTCATTGATTCGTGTCATGCTTTCGTTTGACCACCAATAACTCTTTTCCAGTCTGATCCTATGTCAAGGAAGGCGATGGTTAGTCTTGTATAACACATATCCTAATCATCTCATTCAACGCAGCTTCACAGCCACATCGATTGACTTTATCTTTTTACCTACCTGATACTCACCTGACGCCTAACCTCAGTTTTATTCACCCTCTTATACCACCACTTAACACGGGAGATGGAACGCAGACGCCTATGATCAAAGATAGCTAGCTAGCCTTTTCGTACATTCCACTTAGAAAGGCCATGTCTCACTCACAGCGATAAAGGAGAATAGAGAAAACTGTTGAGCAGTACACCCGCCCTGTGGTCGATAGCCAGCCGGATATCACAGAGTTGGAGTAAGTTGGCGGACATATGCTAAACGAGCCTTCTGTATTCGAGCTTGGATTTAGTCAGTGATCAACCCGCTGGCATTGGTTGATGCAACTTCCCAACCGAAATAAGTGAAGTGGTCAACACGCTCCATCAACCATTTCACTCCCGCTCTCTAAGCTAGGAGTCAATATAGTCCACTCCTGCAGCGTCATTTTACATTTGGCAGGAGAGAATTGCATGCCGAACATATTCAGATTACAACTCAAGGCGTTAAGAAGACTCTGCATTTTGTCAGCGTCTTCACATAGTAGGGAGAACTATATCATCCGCATATTCTAAGCCAATCAGATTATTCCCTAGTAGCAAGTCGATCGCTGAGTCGCTGAAGTCTGTTAAGGTTAATTTGATCATTACATCTATGATGAATTTGAATAGAAATGGGGACAATGGACATCCATGATGGACACCACTGGTTGTCACCACAACTCTCTCTAGGCTCTCACCTGGTTGACTGCTTGAGTTCAAGTAGAGTGCCTTGATTAGTGCGATGTATTTTCGCGGAATTCCCTTCACAGCCAAACATCATCATAGTACATCTCCGTCGATAGAATCGAATCCTGCCTTCACCTCAAGAAATATAACGGTTGTTGGACGCCGGTAAGTATCTCTTTAGTCCAGAATCTGTCCAAGGGGGAAGATATGATCAATATACCCTCTTCCTGATCTAAGACCTATCTGGCTCTCTCGTGCTTGAACCTCTCGTGAACCACTTAGTCTACGCATAATTATTGAGCCTAGAACTTTAGATACCATTTTGGTCAAGCTTATCTCCCTGTGATTGTCACTGGAAGACTTGTCTCCTTTCTTGTTTATCAGGACAATCAATTACTTACACCAGCCCGATGGGACTTCCTCTGGTTCTCAGACACTGCCTAATACCTTAGTTAACGCAGACAGTAAACTATCTCCACCGTACTTAAATACTTCTGGAGTCAATCCATTAGGTCCTGCTGCTTTGCCTTGTTTCAGAATAGAGACAAGTATTTGAGTCCAACTTCCCTACTTAGGCATTAAAGTCGCCTGCTAAAACAACTATATCTGAACGCTTTGCCTTTTGCAGAAAATTAGACAGTTTTCAGTAGAAGTCACCCTTTAGTTCATCCAAACTGCAGTCTGTTGGGGCTTAAGCGGTGACTATGAAAAGACTGCGACGGTTAACGCCGTCTTTCTTTCTTCTATCGGACCCATTTAGATGGAACGCGCACATACAACTACCTACTGGGATCCAGGCAAGAAGGGGTTTTTCTTCCGTAACACTCACCACTATCCCTACACCTATGAGTCCTCATGAACTAGCTGAGCAGTCTACCGACACCCTTAAAGTGGATTTTGCAGATTCACCTTGTTTACCGGGTGGGTTGGGGTTAATTCATTGACCACACTCGAGGCTTGCACGCGTGTCTCCGAGAAACAACGTACATCCATGGCTCGAGATGTCAGAGTTCTGGCTGGTGGTACCTGTTGTACGACTTGGGAGAGGGTCCAATATGAAGTCGGCAACGTGGCTCTAAGAGACTATCGGAGGGGATTGTGTGTCTGTCACTGTTATTTGTGGTCACAGAATGCAATGAAGATGACTGACTAGCTTGTAGAATAGTACCGCCTGTAATAGAGGAGCAAGATGATGAGGGTGACAGGGATAAGGAGTTTGATGATCAGGAGAGCTGCGTGTGCTTTTGGAAATGTGTGGATCCGTTGTTGCTACCTGACTACCTACACTGTGAAAGTCGATTCATTCATGGGGTTTTTGAAACAGAAAGAGGACTACCGTTGAGTGTCCCCAA